CAATAGTAATATTTATTAAAATTAATTTATTAACATTAATAAATAATAATTAATATTAATGATGGTTATAATTGGAAAAAACCACACCAAACTCTTAAAACATTATTTCAAGTAGCGTTTTAATAAGTTAGTTTATGGTCATCCAAACATCCATATATAAAAAAAATTAGTTTATATTTGTCAAACAACGTCGGATCATCTATGAAAAAACCTAACAAAAACCCTTTTCAATATATAAAAATAAATAAATTTATATAGATAGTTTTATCTAGAGAAATTTAATAGAAAATCAATCAAACAACCTTAAATAAGAGAAGATGTTATCTATATTTAATTCAAATTTGAAGGGGTTGATTTGAAACTTTTTCAAACTTAACAAGCCGGACTATCTTCGTTGGAAACAACGCCATGAGTTTACCCTCTTGTTAAGCTCGAAATGGGAAAATTGAATGGTTTCTTGTAAGCAAATACAAAGCACTGTTAGGAATCCGTCAACGTTTCGGCTCGCAAATCCCAAAGAAAGGGTTTCTGATTACCACACGACACTTAGAAACGCACAACCTACATTGGGTATGTGATTATCTCATCACTTTCTTCACTATCAATCAACGTGTGAAATCTGATGCATTTCGAGTTCAATTTCAGATTCTTTTACCCGTTTCAAACTGAATTTCTTCATGGGTTTACTTCAGCCAACCTTCTTACAGATGGTAAACGTGTTCAATTGATTTAGAAACACGTATTCACCGCCACCGCTGTTCCTTTTTCGTCGTTTTCAAAGACTTCATATATATATATATATATCTACACTTGTATCGAGATCTTAGTTTATATAAATTTAGAAAAAAACCCAATACATTAGAAACAAACTTCCGTTCATCGGAGACTCTGTTTATCTTTAAATTGTTCAGAACGTGTGGTATTCGATTGTAAGGAAAAGATGGTTGGAACAGAAATTGAGGGATCAACGAACAATGCCCATGCTAATGGTTTAGTTCAAAACACTAATGGTTCCTTAGAAGAAAAAGTGGATGAGCTTCGGAAGTTATTGGGTAAAACAGACGATGATCCTTTGAGAATTGTGAGCGTTGGTGCTGGTGCTTGGGGTTCTGTGTTTGCAGCCATGTTGCAAGATGGTTATGGTCATCTTCGCGATAAGGTTCAAATTAGGATCTGGAGAAGATCTGGAAGATCAGTTGATAGAGCCACGGCTCAACATTTGTTTGATGTTATCAATTCAAGAGAAGATGTGTTAAGAAGATTGCTTAGACGATGTGCTTACTTGAAATATGTTGAAGCAAGATTAGGTGATAGAACTTTGTATGCAGATGAGATTTTGAAAGATGGGTTTTGTTTGAATATGATTGATACTCCACTTTGTCCTTTAAAAGTGGTTACTAATTTGCAGGAGGCTGTGTGGGATGCTGATATTGTCATCAATGGATTGCCATCCACAGAAACACATGAAGTATTTGAAGAAATTAGCAAGTATTGGAAGGAAAAAATCACGGTTCCGATTATAATTTCGTTATCAAAGGGTATAGAGGCTGAGTTGCAGCCTGAACCCCACATAATTACTCCAACCCAGATGATTAGTAGATCAAGTAAGATTCTTGATTTTTTTATTTTTCGGGTTTTCTAGCTTTATGTTGATCTTATTCATAGCCTAATTCTTGATGTTTAATTTTATCTAATGTGTGCCTTCTTTTATGTGTTCCAATTATGCCTACCCCAACTAGTTTCTTATAGAAGACTTCTTGTTTGTAATATTCCATGCATATGTGAATAGATTTTTTGCACTTTCAGACTTTTTTTTTGGTGTATGATTGCATTTCTGTTTGGTGGTTGGAGGCCTTCATGAGGAAAGTTCTTGGAAAACTTATTTTGTAATGCTTTATAAGCTTTCTCATCATGTTGAACACCAATAAGCATAGTTCTTGTGGTGAGGTCACATTACATGCATGAACTTCAAAAGCTGCCTCCTAATAGCTTTGTAGGAATTGTGAATGGGAGGTGGATCATGCATTATGTAAACATGATATTTGATGTCCCCATGGCTGTAGCCTAGTGGGTAAGAAGGTGAACATTCTCGGTGACAGATCCAGGAATTTTGCTGATGGGGTTGGAAATTTAAGTTTAGAATCTTTTGAGGGTCAAAAGAAGAAATATTTTTATAAATAAAATAAAAATCTATAGTATAAAGAAGTGTTTTTTGAAACTTTATGCCCTTTTGGCCATAGATCTGCTGATGGACATTCTTCCTGAGTGGGAGGTTTGGGGTTTGACTTCAGGCACCACCCATCTGCCCTTGGGACACGGGATTTAGTAATTTACCTCCCCCATGATGACTGCGGATTGCATAGTGCTCAAGAGGGTGACGTCATACTCTTTTTGCATAACATGATATTTGATTATCATTGTTATATGACTGAATGAGGAGTTCTAAATTAGTTACATTTTTACAGTAAGGAGTGTTCTTTATGTAACAAGCTACTCCCTCTGTTTAAAAAAGATATAACAGTGTGCTTTGTTAGGAAGATTCAAATCCATGTGCATTCATTTGCACTTTAGCAACTGTTCCAGGAATTTTGTGACATTGATTTTGGTCTATGAGTTTTTGTTTCTAAATCATCTTATCAAGGGCATTTTGGGTATTTTGATCATTACTCAAAAACCGACTAAACCATCTGTCAACTCAACTTTTACTGCATTTATTTGGGTGGGGGAGAGAGTAGAATTCACAAAGTGAATTGCCAATAAGACATGGCCATAGTGAAACTCAAGAGATGTAATGTTTTTTTCTGCAACTAGAACCTGAACAGTAATACAACTCAAATTCAGATACCCAATCTGCAGTTAATGAAATATTTGACCGTTTTTACCTTTAACTCATGATCAAAAGCTTTTATGTGTCAATATTTTTTCATCCATCAGAGTCGGGCAAAATAACAAGTTATATTGAATGATTTAGGCATTAGATGCTTTCAACAACCGATAACATATCAGCTACCAGTTGATTGATATGCTCTTTAGTGTTCTTTTTCTATATATGTTTTCATTATTCTAGTAATTTAACTTTTCCATCTTTTAATAACGATGATGGTTTTTAACAGCTGGAATTCCAATGGAGAACATTCTATATCTTGGTGGACCTAATATTGCATCAGAGATCTACAACAAGGAATATGCTAATGCACGACTATGTGGAGCAGAGAAGTGGAGGAAACCACTTGCCAAGTTTCTAAGGCAACCCCACTTCATTGTGTGGGATAACGGTGATCTCGTTACTCATGAAGTGATGGGTGGGTTAAAGAATGTCTATGCCATTGGAGCTGGTAAGTTTCAATCCTGTTTATCTCATTGGAGCCGATATTAATTGATGTTAAGAAAAAGTTCATTAATCTATACTTCTGTTTCCTCCTTGAATTTATTTGCCCTGCAATTTTCTTCTATTTAACATTTTATTGTTTGTGATCGGCTAACCCACATGCAACTTTTGCATTGAGTGCAAGTTTTAGCACATATATATGGTTTGCAAAGAGAAAAAAAAATTCCGTTTCAAATAGTTTGAGCTTGAGGCTCTGTAAGCACTTTTCTATAAACATGTGTATAAAGGGTGTGTTAGGTACAAGGATGGACTAGATAGGACTAGACGGGTGAGAGTGAGGTAGGCGGGTGAAAAAATTGTGGAAGGTTTTAGGATTTTAATTGGCATGTGTAGTTTAGTAATTTACCAATCTTGTTCTGTTTCCTTGATTTTTGTTCCACCTATTTTGACGGGACAAAAAAAGTGCATTTCTGTCCCACTCAGGCCTGTCATCTCCCTGTCTGACGTTGCTCCAAATGTGGGACAAGTTTTTGTACTATCTTGTCTCATCCCGCCTACCATACATACCCGAAAAATAACATATTTTTGCTAAAGTCAGTATGGTGGGATATTAATGATAAGAAGCTTTTTCTATTAGACAACTTACTGAGAGAGAAAGGGATCACATAAAGGATTTGCAGATGGTGTTTATTATTACTATTATTTTACTGAAATGGTCAAACAGACACCCTGTTAGCAGCGGTTCTGGAACTCACAGCCACTTGTTGAAGAGACGTGGTACTAGTTGAGCTAAAGGCTACTAGTTGCGTATGGTGTTCATTGATCTAGAGAGGGCATATAATAGGTCAAAAATAGTAACTATGTGGTTTTGAGAAGAAGAAAGTCCTAAGAATATATGTGTGTGACTAACTACTATGTGAGATGGCATGGCTAGCTTTCACATATATCAATGGATGTCTGAAAAAAGGTTCTTTCTAAATTGTGCATTCTATAGATAATTGTCGAACTTGACTCATCGTGTAATGGAGCAGATAGTGAAACTATATTTCTATCATCGTTTTCGAGTATAGAATCAACTAAAGAAATTGGAAGTTCAATTTCCAGAGTATGGGCATGCATCATTCACATATTCATGGTTATGGAATGAAATGTTGTACTCCTTTCATTTCCAGCATTCATTTAGAAGTAATCGAGTTTTTCTGGTGTGTTATTTACTTCTCCGGTTTTGTTTTCACAGGTATGGTAGCGTCTTTAACCAATGAGAGTGCCACCAGCAAGTCGGTGTACTTTGCGCATTGTACATCTGAAATGATATTTATAACTCATCTTTTGGCTAAAAACCCGGAGAAGCTTGCAGGTCCGCTATTGGCTGATACATATGTGACATTATTAAAAGGTCGTAATGCATGGTATGGCCAAAAGTTGGCCAAAGGAGAACTAACTCTTGATATGGGTGATAGCATCAAGGGGAAGGGGATGATTCAGGTGTGTTTTCTTCTCTTTGTTACTTTTTCTCATCGTGTGCCACTTTGCCTTGCTAATCACTCTCTTTCAAGAAATGGCACGATTCATGGACTAAAACTACTAGAGCATGAAGAAAAACTAAGACCGGCATGTAGTACAACTGTACAAGTAGGAAAAACTAAGATTGACATACAGTAAAAGCATGAAAACCAAGTCCTATCATGCAGTAAAAGCAGGAAAACTAAGACAAAGCAGGAAAACGAAGACTGGCATACAGTAAAAGCAGGAAAACGAAGACTGGCATACATTAAAAGCAGGAAAAACTAAGGCTGACGTACACTAAAAGCAGGAAAAACTAAGACTGGCCTACAGTAGAAGCTGGAAAAACTGAGACTGACATACAGTAGAAGCAGGAAAAAATGAAACTGTCATACAGTAGAAGCATGAAAAACTAAAACTGACATACCATATAGTAGAAGCAGGGAAAACTAAGACTGACATTCAATAAAAGCAGAAAAATTATGATCGGCTTAGCAGGAAAAACTAAGAGCGGCATACAGTAGAAATAGGAAAATTATCTCTATCTGTATCTTACATTAAAACTTATATGATAATGTGTTAGTCCACTTGTAAACCATAGGTTATCGGTTGAAACCAAGAGGCCTTAAAATCATTAAGAAATGAAATGAAACGAAATCAGAAGCTAAGATACTCATGATTTGCAAGATCTATGACTGTTATAGTTTATGTGTCTTATTTTGTTTCAGGGAATTTCAGCAGTGAAAGCATTTTACGAGCTACTTAGTCAATCTCATTTAAGCATTCTACACCCGGAAGAGAAAAAGCCTGTTGCACCAGTTGAGCTTTGTCCCATTTTGAAAACCCTGCATAAAATACTTATATCAAGGTAAACCCTCTGATAAAAGGGAAAAGGGCTAGCTTCTCGAAAGGTCCCAAAAGAAATGTCCACGATGAAAAGACGTACAGTTTTAGAAGCGTGTAATTATTACACTTTTTAATTAACTAAGTGACATTTTTACCCTTAATAATAGAGAGAGTAATGATTTTCTCCTTCTCATATTTAAGGGCAGAATTGGAAAATATGCACTTACTTTTGAAAGTGGACACCTTTTTTGGGACAGGACAGGGGAGTAGTATTTATGAGTCATTAATGTTTATGTGTTATGTTTCAGGGAGGCTCCATTGGAGGCTATTCTTCAGGCATTGAGGGATGAGACGATGAATGATCCCCGAGATCGGATTGAAATTGCCCAAACTCATGCTTTCTACAGGCCTTCACTCTTGGGGCAGTAGCCTTTCCTTGTTTAGTGTTGATTATGTATTACTTGTTATTTGCAACTCATCTGAACTCTGTTTGTTGTACAATTTTGCCTTGTGCTATTATATTGAACCTTGTTTGTTTGTGTAACCTATTTCCCTAGTTTATCCCCTCGTCCAGTTTTCGGTTTACACACTCCACTCTCATCTCTAGTTCAAACCATACACAACACTCGATGATCGATGAAACTGATTATTGAAACCGAAAACCTCCAATAATTCTTGTCCAAGACAATGTTGGTGTCAAGAATGTATGGTATGCGTTAAGCAACCCTGAAATTGATGAAACCATTGGAGCAACGACCCCTGGAACGGTTAAAGCGAAGAGATCATCTTACAAATTAAGATCATCTTCAATAGATACTTCAAAATGTAAAAAATGGAGATTTTGAATGTTTTCCAAAACTTTCGAGAGTTTGGAGTTTTTCAAGTTTGGAGAACTCTCCAAAAATGATTACAATGAGAAATAAACGTTTTTTTATTATTATATTCCCATCAATAATAAGCTTTGGTGTTAAGTGTTTTTGTTACATGAATAAACTATTTTAATAAATGTTTCTCATGGAGGGAAGTTGTAATTAACTTCTGTGGCTAAATTTACAAGAAGATAAGTTTCTTACTAAAATAGTAAACTGTAAAAGTATAAGGACTAAAATTGTAATTTATGCAAACATTTATACGTTTAGGCGAGAAATTCTTTTCTGAGAAAAAGCGAGAGAGATGTCGCTGGTGGACTACGCTTCGTCAGACGAGGAAGATGAAGCAGTGGGGAGAGAAGAAGGTCGCCACAACGATAATCTTGTAATTTCACACACGAAGCCGTCCCATCATCCTCCCAATCAGTAAGTTCATTTATCTGTTTCCAATTTCATCAAAAGGGTGTGGAATTAGGGTTCTAAGTTCCTGAGCGGTGAAGTAAATTCTCTGATTTGCTTTATAATAATCTTCCATGCTTTCAACTTGCCGAATACTGAAATTCCTATGTTATTGTCGACTCCAACTTGCTAATAATCAATAGATATAGATTTTATGTCAAAGTTACTGTCAGCATCTTTCAATTTATTTGTCATTGTGTTTATTGAAACTATAAGAAAACTCAAGAACATTATATACTTTAAAAAAACTCAAGAACAGTAGAATCCATTGGCCCAGCGACCGGTAAACCCAACGATAACAGTGATAAACAAATTGGACAAGATTTTGGTGAATTTTAGCAGGTGGATGGTCCTTCCTTTTTATTTATTTATTATTCTTATTCTTTTCTTTTCAGCACAACTTTTTTAATTAAATAATGTAGTTGACCTGAAGCCAAGTGTGACTTGGGTTGTTAAGCAGTAGGCCAGTCCTTGGGGTTGTGGATTTTCATCATAAGATATAAAGAGATGGAGGAAAAATTGAGGTGTTGTGCCAATGAAGTTGAATTTGTTTGCTACCAACTTAAAGTTGCACATGTCTAGTTCTAATTACACAATTTGTTTTCAAGGGCAAGTTGCTTGTTTTGGTCTGCTGTTAGTTGTAAGTTTAGCAGTGAAATTGATTTATCTCTGGTGCTCTAAAGTTTGGAGGACGGTTTTATTCTGTTAATTGATCTATTGACCTTTCTGCATTGTAATAAACATGTGCTTGCATGTTGACTTCATTCATAAATAAGAATTAGGAGTTACAACTTACGAGGACATGGAAAGGATCATCTGTGATTAAAAACCTCTTAGTATTGTTTAGTAGTAAGAAATGCATGCAGAAATAACTTTTCTCATCTTCACCATTATTGTCTAGTAATAAAAAGGACGGGATATATTACCAGTTCTCTGTTGTTACCTTTGCATTAACCAAGTGTAAGGGACTATGTTATTGTTCTTCAAAACTGAATATTTGCAAAGATAACCCCGGTAAATGCTACAAATAGGAGAGAAGACAAGGAAGAGAAGACTCAAGTAACATATCTTGTTTGTATCAGAATTACATCTGTATATGTACATTAGAGCCTAACCAAGCTAGGTTGCTGCTTCCACATTTAAGATGAATTCTCCTCAAATAATTAGGATACAATAATATTCGAAGTTTTCCTTATGTACAGCAACTCTGATGATAGTAAGTAGTAGCTGTTAATAACTTCTGGCTTAGCATACTTTGACACGGGTTTCCAGAGCCTTTTGCATTGATTGTTGGAATAACTAAGAAATGGGACTTTACTTTACATTTTATCATATTTAGCTTTGCTTGTAAAATTTGAAGGAGAAGTCTGATGCAGGACACCCTAATCAATTGTAAATGGCATGTTCTGTTACTAGGCTGTCCAATACCGCGACGTCTTCCCTGACTGGATCTACTTTTATCTAATCATTGTGTTTAGGGACCTTTATGATTCTGTTGGAAAATGAGTTTCATAAGGAATCGTTATTTACTCGTTGATCTCCATGACATTTACATTGGTGTAGATGAAACTTTAGTCTCTAGTTGGGGGAAAGGGTTTGTAGGAGCTTTGAAGTTGTCAGATGCTACAAAATATAATTTAGAGATGCCAAGGAAAATCACTACCCAGTACCCACCCACATCAAAGATTCACATTTATTTATCATGATTGGAGTACAATGTGGCACAGTTGACCTTCGAGGTGATAAAAAATGAGGAATGGACACATTAGTAGGGAGGAAGAATAACAATGATACTATGACCAATAATTTAAAAAGAAAACTAGGGAATCAAAGCGGCAACCATATTGACTATAGGTCAGAAACTGGTGGTTCAGATTTGAAACATTGGTTTTGGAGTTCATGGGTTAGCATAGGTCATTATCCCAAGGGGTCAGGCAATTAGTTGGGTAAAGCACCAGTCGGGTGTGTATTAATGACATTGACCTGTTCTCCACCCTCTTCAGGTTGACTTCTTCCTTTATTGCAAAGAAAGGAGGGGGTCAGAGTGGTCAAAGTTCCAGTGATCACTTTCACATGAGACAAGCACACGCTAAATAAAGACGACCCATTTTGGTGAGGCTAGCCTTTCTCCATCCTTAATTTGTATATTGTTTACCAACGAAACTCTAATTCATAAATAATGTGTTTCCAGAGACATATCAAGGTTAAGTGCTGGAAGAAATTGGAGTTTAGGCACCAAAACCAGATTCATACCAGCAAGTTGGTATCTGGTTTCAAGGAACCGATCTTGTTCTTGCACAGATTAGTAGGACTGTCATTTCTGAACCAGCGATATTTGCACATCACTACTTGCAATAGTCTTTACTAATCTGTACCGCTAATCTAATTGTTTTATTTAAGTGGCTCCTTGGGTTGGTGTTTTTTCTGTTTTCTGTATGACAGATATACCTCCTGTGACTATTTTGTCTGTCTTGCCTAATTTTCATTCTTAGAATACCGAGGAGCTGAAATTTTCTCGAGCAGCTTATAGCTACTAGTTATTATGTACATTTGCTTGTTGAATCTTTGTAATATTCTAACTCTGTTGGTTCTAAATTCTAGTGTATGTGAACCATGTTTAGAAATACATTTTGCAGCATCAGTTTAATTTCCAGATCTCCAGTCTTGTTTCTTACTTGGTACCATGTGGCAACATTCTCAATTACGACCTTATCTATGAGTTTATCCTAGTATGCAGATTTACTAATTGAGTCCCAACTCCTTATTTTTATCAACTCTTGTAATCAGTCCTTTTGACCCGCAACACAATTCTATTTACCTTCCCTATGCTTCATTTGTTTCCGTATGCGTAGGAAAGCGACAAGGTTGCCAGTCCAACAATCAGATAACTCTATAAATCATTCAGAGTCTTCTACTTTTAGGCTGCCTGATGCGTCGCTTCTCTTGGATTCCCCTTCTCTGCCATCCAGTATGATTGGAAGCTATGACCACACTTCTCGAGTCGCAGCTGCCATGGCTCAAAATGAATCACGCAAAAGAGATTCCAAGGAATCGACTGCTTCTTATCCTCGTGGGAAAATTCCAAGAGGGAACTTGCCCCATTCAAAACATGTTCCAGAGACAGCGTTTGGTCTTCTTCGTCCACCTCAGCTTAGTGGCAGGTGAGTTTGTATGCAGTGATTCTCATATAAAATGGTAAAATGTTATCCAAGTTATAGTATATATGTCATCTACTAGACAATTTTATGTTAAATGTGCTTTCTTAATTTTATTTAGTTTACATTGTTTACAAACACATATTAGAAACACTTCTGCTCTATATAATTCTTGCAGGTATGTTCCACTCTTGGTATCTATTTATTTTATTTTTTGTTGTTAAATGAAAGTCTAGACGGTACTCCAACCATTCCAAGGCAAGTCTAATTTCAAAATTGAGAAGCTTCTAAGAAAATTTATGTATCAAAATTTTAGTAAGGCTAATAAAGGAAGGGCTATTTTGTGGTGCTGTTGGACGACCTAGAAAGAGGGGGGGGGGAGTGAATAGGTTGTCATTACACCCAGAAATTAGACAAATAGAAGAAGAAATACAACACCAAAATTTAATCATGGTTCGGACCGCCATGTCATATGTCCACTTCCTGAGCAATCTGAAGATTTGGATTCAATAAAATTGCTCCTTGAAGGTAAGAGTAAAAATCTCTTGCAATAAATGAGGCAGTCACTCAAGTTTGCTTCAATTAACCATCAAATTGACCCAATGGTAATTTGTAATCTAAGCATTAAATACTTGAGTACTAGTCAAGTTTTTTCAACATCTAATGTTGAGATGTAGTTACACTTAGGGGCTGATTGGTTTGAAGGAATGGAATGGAATTGGGGGGATTTGGATTTGAAAGCCATTCCGATCCCACGTTTGGTTTGCAGGATTGTCCGGATTTGAAATCCAAGGATTCCTTTGAAATCCCGTTAAGTTATGGATTTGGAAATTGTAACACCCTAGTTTTTTATTAAATAAATCTCAATATTTCAGCCTTAAATACACATATTTATACATAAACAAATGCTCCAACAGCTGCTACATTTAGAAAGCAAGCTAGTGATGAGTTGTTAAAGCTAGAAGTGTGTTGGCAAGTCTAGTAAGCATGACTAGGCAAGCTAGTGATGAGTTGTTAAGGCTAGAAGTGTGTTGGCAAATCTAGTAAGCATGACTAAGCAAGCTAGTGATGAGTTGTTAAGGCTAGGAGTGTGTTGGCAAGTCTAGTAAGCATGACTAAGCAAGCTAGTGATGAGTTGTTAAGGCTAGAAGTGCATGAGTTGGCAAGACTATTGATTACAAGACAAGTCTAGGAAGCATGTCAAGGAGTACTAGAAGCATGAGTTGTAAGATTCTCTTATCTTTATTAGTGAGGTGTCAAACTCTCATAAGAGTACAATCTTTAAAGCAAGAAGAACAAGTAGTTAATGCAATGAATTTATCTATAAATAGGGGTTTAAGGGTCACTATTTATGCATACCAAAAACTAAGAAATCTCTCTATATTTACCTAATTAAGCTTGAAGAAAGGAATCAAAGGAAAAGTAGGCAAATCAAGGTGAGTACGTTATGAGATTTACAGGGATACATACATGCTATATATATGTATAAATGTTTTATGCATGAAAGAGTATTGCCATATCTTCTTGTAAAAGTTATGTTATGATTATGTGGCAAAGTACACCTTTTCTGTCATGATGCACATGTGGTATATGAAAGTTTTTATACATGTTAAGTATAACCATTTAAATATCCAACGTACGGGATACAAAAAGAAGGTACGTCTTGCAAACGGACCTTATTGGGCAGCCCTTATGTGGACCTGAGGTTAAAGAACCTGTGAGAAGTTGGTTTACTTAACATGTAATCATGAGATCTCAAAGAAATGTTTTTATACATGAAAGTTTCTAAGAATTATGTTAACTATTTGGAAAGAATGTTTTATCATGAAACCATGACTACTCACTAAGCTTTTAGCTTACGTATTCATGTATGCATCTCGGGAATCAAGGAGTAGGAACAAGATGAAGTGTTGCTATTCTAAGATGTTAGAATATTATAAGTTGTAAATTTCCGCATTTCCGCTGCTGTAATAACTCTATTATAATGAAATAAAAGTTTAAGATATGAAGTTTCTTTCATCCTGAGATCGGGATGTTACAGAAATCCTTTGGAAAGAGTTGGTATTTCAAATCCAAATCCGGTGGGATTTCATAAAACACCGCCTCCTTCCCTTTGGAAATCCTTTGAACATCTACTTCCAAAAGCTCTTGAAGATCAATGACCTGGTCCAAATCCATGCACTTTCAAGAATCGGTATGAATCGAGTGTGTAATTCGACGGCGGCGGTTTCCTGATTATAGTTCTAGAGGGAGCGGGCATTGAACTTGTAACTGGCGGTTTCTGTGCCTTCCACACTTCACCGTCGGAGTTGAAGATGCCACGGCTGACGAAGTCTTCAAGGAGAGAAATGAACCGGATTCCCTTTGGGTAGTTATCAAAGTTGGTCTTGAGCATGATTCGATGTTTGCAAGGTTGGCAGTGATGATGCCGTTGATTTTCCGGGACCGTGGAAGACAGCGGTGTTGGTTGGACAGTGAGAGAGGACTTGGGGTGCTCCATTCAAGAAAACAGTGGCGATTTAGGAGAAATTCGGGTAGGGTTCCTAGTATTGGGTAATTTTTTGAAGCCGATTGGAGTGGTGGATTTGGATTTTGGGAAGAAGAAACAGTAGATGAAGAGAGATTGAGATGATTAAAATGATAGGTTGGAGAGAATCGATATCCATATTCATGTTTAAGATGATGGATTTTTGCAATTTTGGGAATCTCTCTAATGATGAAGACCAAGATGATGATGAATCAAGAAACTGGGAATTATTATAAAAAATTAAATCTCAATCCAAATCCTACACACCAAACATGATTTATAAAGGAATGGAATTCAAATCCATTCCAAATTCTACAAACGAAACACACAAAAGGATTATTCCAAATCCATTTTAATCCAATCCCTCCAAATCCAAATCCAAATCCAAATCCCTCCATGAAACCCAAATCCCTTGAAAACAATCTGCAAACCAAACGGACTCTTAGAGAAAAATTGAGCGGAATTTCAAAGTGAAGCTTTATGGACGTCCAGATGGTGCTCCAAAGACGTCTGCCTATCAGATAATTTATTGGTCATTTATGTTATAACCGTTGAAAGTCAAAGTATCCGTTAATGTTAGGTGCGAATGTACAGTTGACACTTTGTAGCTGGTTGACTCTTACTTACTATAAGGATGATTTTTAAAAGTTGTTTTTAAAAAATCCATTTTAAAAGTCAAAACTAATAAATAATTTTAATTAATACCCTTCTATGAAATGATCACTCGAGCATCCTTGAGAAGAAATTAAAGCCCGAGTGATATTCGTAATGCGTCATTGGAAGTTTTCTAACTTGTCTGTGTTTGACATGCTTTCCAAGGTTGAGTTTCAAGTCTTGATTTGTTGTTGTAGGCTGCTTGAGGTTCAAAATTGCTTTATTAAGCAAAAACTTGAACAATCAAACTTGTTAGTATCAGGGGCTAGTTTGTCAATTGTCGCTCATCATAACTTGAGGGGTCGAGAATTGTAAATTTCGGCTTCTTTTATAAAAAATTTTACACCTCAACCAATATGTGTAATTACCAATGGAGCTTTAATTTTGGATCAAAAACTATGGGCAAATGGGATTCTCTTGGAATGGACTACTTGACAGAATGTGCGGTATCTTAGCGTGCCTATACATGACACTTTTAAAAGCCTGACAATACAGCCATTAGTTCTTCTCTTTCTGAAACTTCTTGTTGCCTTTTTCTTATTTACTCCTGATATCCCAAAAAAAGAGGCAAAGTTGAATTTTGAGGTCAAAACCAAGTTTATACTTCTAAATGATCTGATTTTGCTACAGAATTCAGTGTTGACATTTTATGGTTTAACAGTGTTTTTCTAACACTGGGATAAACCGTGTACAACTTCTGCCCGAAAGCTAAAGTGTTTGTTATGAAGGTCAATGTGATTATCATATCTTAAAGTTGTAACTGTTTTATTTCGACTTGAAAGTCAAATTACGTTCGCTTTACTTGAAACAAAGGAATTTTGTTTTTTGCACTTGTGTAAGCACTTAATTGACATAGCCCATGTGTGTTCTTCACCTTTTTATTTTTATTTTCTTAGGGGATAAGCAGACAACTTGCTTTATGTAACCACAGAACTTTGGTTTTTGATCGATTTAATAACTTGTTTTTGAAGATAAATAGTCTACATGATATAGTTGTGTGAAAAAGCATGCTTCATCGCTTACACTTTTTCTTATTCAGTAATCGCTTTTATGTTATTTTTCTTTGTATGGTATATCTATTACCTTAAATAGACATGACTAATGAGCAACTGTCTCTCTGTTCTGTAATCGATATAATTTTGTACGGTTTGATGATTAAAAATGGGGTTTTTGGTGCAGGAGTAATGTGGTTACAGAAGATATAACCAAGTTATTTACGCGAAGAAATGGGTCTGAGCCCTCCTCTTCGTCTAGCAGATCGACCTCCGGGTAATTTCTTTGTAACTTGTAAAGTATGCAAGGATTCATGAAGACAGATATATTTTGCAATTTGGAATGGTTAGTTATCAAGAATAGCAGCAGACACATGTTTTGAGTAGGATTTTGTAGAGCTGGATATAAATTCTGTTGATCTTTATACAAAGATTCAGTTGTTCTCTCTAGGCTTATTACATTAATATGTATTAGATAAAAATATTGATGTGCCCTTTCCCATCTGCCAATCACACATCCGCATTTTTAATGAAGTGTGAGAACAAGGGGCCGTTTATTAAACATTTACCCAGTAAGTGATTACAAGGTAATTTTCCTTATGGATGAACATGGCATGAGTCCAAAATCTTACCCGGTAAGAGCAATGATAAAGATGGATAGGTGAAGGTAACGACTCTTACCTCGGTAAGTGCTTACCGGGTAAATTGTTGCATACAATACCATTTTAATGTACTACAATCTTACCCGGTAAAATAAATTATATTATTGACTCCTAACATTAAACGCTTACTGGGTAAGCATTTAGATAAACGGCCTTTAAGAAAATTAATTAAATAAACATATATTGGATAAACATGTTGATGTGCCGTAGAGTTTTGAGATGGGAGATCTTTATATATTCATCGTTGTATCATGTATGCCAAGTACGTGTTGTTGACATGCATGGATAGGGTGTGGGTGTGTTGTTTGGCATTGTAAATACATTATTTTTATACTAGCTGTATATCCATACAATACTTAAGATGTTAAAATTTTATTCGGAAAATTAATGCAATTTTCATTTAGTGTCTATAGAATTTACTTGATATATTGGTTGATTGTGATTTGACATATTTTTACACAGTCTAAGAATTGTATATAACTTAGTGTCTACATCATCAATAGTTACAAGTTAAAATGAGTATGAAATAAGAACCGAATGTTTGTTACACTAATTGAGAAATTAAAAAAAAATTCACCGCTGTGTTAAATACATGTCTTAAAACATTATTTAGCTACTTGTTATGCAAGAAGCACTACAACTTTTCAACCGGTGCTATAAATCTACAATAACAGCATACCCTTGTATATATTTCAATAGAAAAAAATAATAATATTCAGAGTACCATAAATAATGACCAATAAATCAAAGTAATATAGTTTTTTTTTATCCCCAAGGCAAAATTTAGAAGACTTAAAAAAACCAAACCAATCTGCCCCTTGTATTCTACCCTCCCTTTTAACATGAAGGTTTTAACAACTTGTAACCAAACCTCACAAAGAATATAAATATAAAAATTGAACCTGAAATGAAAACTTTCAAGCCATGTCTGGACCCCTGGGAAGTGGTTCATAGCCGTCGTGCTGCTTGACTGCACCAGGTTGCGTAGAAGATTCAACCGGGATGAACTTGAGGATGGCTCCAACCGGCAGACTAATGGCTCCCATCAGAACGCTGGCTGACCACAAATTCTTAGATAGTGGTACCGTGGATGCAAATGTCCCTAACAATTCGACTATGATGATTTGGAATGTCACAGTGCAGATCATAACGATCATGAACACCCAACTATCAAATATTCCTCTTAGCACATTTATCTTCTCCATATCACGACTGTTTATTTCATTAAATACCTGAAAAATAACACTAACATTACAGAACTATAATGACCAAATGCGAGTTTTTTCCAGACATATTTGAAATAGAGCGTCTTATTAGTTTTTTTTATATGCCGTTATTTGAAAAACTGTCTTACAAAAACAAGTCTCCTGATATGTTCATAGGACATTTCTCACAAAATCTCCAGTAAAAAAGCTAATAGGACACTTATTGAAAAAATACTTTAAAAAACTTGTTAGGATGCCTAAATACGTTTTAACATCAAGACACACATTTGTTTCAATCTATAAAATTAAGTCCTATAAAGCAGTCTAATCTAGTTTTATACATCTTTGGCGTCCTAAAAAGACATTTTCTTGTAGTAATGAATATGAGGAGACAAAGGTACCTGGCAGAACACGAAGGTATTAAAGATCAATGTATTGAGGATGGCAGTAGAATTTGAACCATGGAGATTAAGAAGCCGCTTTCCATCAAATTGGAGAATGCCAAGGACGATGAGTTGATAAATGCTTTGCCCAATGATGTTCCGCCACATAATCTTTGTTATAAAGTTGACATCTCTCCCAATCGGAGGTCTTTTCATTAAGCCATCATGAGGAGGTTCTGTAGCCAAAGCTAAAGCACCAAGCGTATCCATAATCATGTTCACCCAAAGCAATTGGACAGCAGTAAGAGGAGCAGAACCTGAAATTGTACTCCAACAGATTCTTAGTGATAATTCATGGCATGTAGATAAATAAAGAACTTTAACTTGAGAACATTGATGAAGGCTATGTTTGGCTAGCTGATATGTTAGCTGTTAGCTGAAAAGTTAGTTGTCGGCTAATAAGCGAGGGGGTGTTTGGTTAGAGTTATTAAGCAATGATCAATGAAATTTGAAACTAAAAGTAACTATTTAGTTTTATATAATATAATGAGTACATTCCCTCATAAGCCCAAATTTTCATTTCAGGTTAAACTGGGGATAATGAAAATTTCTTCTTATTTTCATTTTCATTCTCCTACTTGAACCAAACAGTCCCTAATTGTTAGCTGATAAGCTTATCATGATTGGTAAAAACTAGTTGATAAGCTAGATGACAATGTTAAACAACCTAAAATGACATGTTTTAAAAAATTTAATTGGAAAAATATAAGGGGCATAATTGGAAAAAAAAACCTGGAGCTTATTGAAATGCTGCTTGAAGTAGCGTTTCAAAACTCTAGCTTAAAAGCTTGCTTGTGGCTAACCAAACGGGCTTTCTCACTAAGCTCAAAAAATAAGGTGGCTTATGGTTGTCAAACATGGCCTAAGTTATAGAGGGAAGAGAAAAGACCTGCTGTGCATGCAGAAACAAAATTTGTCATGAGCGCAACCACATTAACCGTCAATTGGAATTGCACAAACTTTTGGATGTTTATGTAAACTGAACGACCCCATCTAGCAACGTATACTATTGTCCTAAAATTGTCATCCATAATCACAATATCGGCATTTTCTTTTGCAACCTGTCAAGATAAAAGAACATATTTCATTATGGTCCTTCTGGTAATCAATGTTTCAATCATCATCCAGCAATCTCCGATTCCTTCGTTGATGGTAATGAATCTTTTGAAGTTTCATTTCACAATATTAACACGTCAAAATGCATTTAAATCAGTCAATACTTGAGACGGTCCAATGGTTATTCAATTTGCTTTGGTTCATAAGTCATTTGGGGAAAATCACATCCCATCCCCTAAATTTGATTATGTCTTTCATTTGAAAAAGTGAAACTTGTTCATCAATTTCTTGGTTTCATTGTCACCCCTAGAGGTAATTCATATATATATATATATATATATATAGACGAAGGATCGTGTGAGAATAAGAGTTAAAAGTGAGAAGAGTAAGAATAGTAAGAAGAGATCTGGACTATTGATCACTTCTAATCTCACCCCCACCCATGAATTGAGTTTCTCAAGGGAATTGATCTGGTGCATCTCATTACGGTTGGTCTTCAATTGGGATTGATCCAAGGTTGGAGGTCCTTCCTTATCCTTCTCACCATAACTTCTATTCTCACAGGAACAACCCTATATATATATATATATATATATATATATATGAACAACAAGTTGCATAGTGGCAAGACACGTAAAATTACTATTCCTGAGCGCAGCATCAATACAATGAACCTCTATGACTCTATCTAATGAAGATCCCATTCAAACTCCCTATCATGCCTCCATGTTCTTGCAAACATGATAAACTAGTTACTAAAATTGAGAATGCGGGAAAATGGGTTGAGGAGAACATGTGAGTCCGAAAAAATTGGACTTTCTTACAGGGGAAACAAAAAAAGATGACTGGAAGCTTGTTTCTGCTGTGTTCTTGAAACCTTTTTATGAAAGAAAGAAAAGGGAGGGAAAGGAAGGGGAAAACGTGTTCTCGAAATTTTTAGGAGAGAACGCAAAGGAATAGGAAGGAAAATAAATGATATGTTTGCTCCCAAAACTTTCCCCCCAAATGTTGGAAGAAAGGGAAGAAAAAATAGGGTAACCCTCGGACAGTTTAGTAAAATTACAAAACTACCCATCAATTTAACACCATCAAAAGAAATATAAGGGTATATTTGTAAACAAATATCTTTCCATTCCTTTCTCTCTGGTTCAAGAACATGAAAAATTGTTTCCTTCCCATTCCTTTACTTCCCCTTTCAAGAATACAAATAAAAAACTTTCTTTATTTTCCCTCCCTTTACTTTCTTTTCTTCCCAAATTCAAGAACACGGATCACGTTGTTGTGTTGTTTTATTTCCACTATTCTTTAGTTCCATTGTATGACATTTTGCTGGTGCTTTAGTTCCTTTTTTGCGTTATGTTTCGGGGGAGGGAAGGCATAGATTCTTTTTGTTATTCTTCTGTTTTATCTTTCATTCTTTCTTTTGTAGGCCTCTTTCCAATTCTTCCCTCTTTCTTTCTTCTTTTAGAAAGGGGGGGGGGTATGATAGAACCAAAAGAAAGGAAAAAAAAGTTGAGCATATCAGGCACAAACCTCAGTTCCAGCTATACCCATGGCTAGACCAATATCAGCTTCATGCAATGCAGGAGCATCATTAGTCCCATCACCAGTTACAGCAACAACTTCCTTGAATTCATTCCTTAAAAGGGTAACTAACTTATGTTTATCCAGAGGCAATGATCTTGCCATCACTTGAAGTTTAGGTATTATATCCTTTAACTGTTCAAGACTTTTTTCACGAAAATCAGGCCCTTCGATCGCCAAACCATCTGCTGTTAAAATCCCACATTCTCTAGCAATGGCTTTAGCCGTATTGATATTGTCACCAGTCACCATCCTAACCATAATTCCCGCATCCAAACAAGTCTTGACAGCCTCTTTCACCCCTGGCCTTACTGGATCCTTGATTCCAACTACTGCAATTATCGTGTAATTACTCTCGGGAATATTATCATTACTGATGGATTCCTTCTCTAGATCCTTGAAAGCCAAACATATCGTTCTAAGAGCTTCACACGCGAAACCATTTATCACATCTGTTATAGTTTTCCTTTGTTTTTCTGATAATTCTACAATCTCTCCATCTTCATTCACAATCTTATCACAAATTTTTAATATAATTTCAGACGCACCTTTGCAGAATGCTCGTAGTTTTCCTCCCGGAAGAGCCACTAACACAGACATCTTTTTCTTCACCGAGTTAAAAGGTTCAACTTTCAGTATCCTAACACCTTTAGAATCTGCATTGTAACTACTCTGAAAAAGTAGTCCAAACTCTAAAAGTGCCGTCTCTGTTGGAGAACCGATTATATTGGTCTTTCCATTTTCATCCTTCACGATCTCGGAGTTGGTATTTAAAAACACAGATTGCAAAAGAACACTCAAAACTTTCTCAGGTATGGAAGATTTGAGGTCTTTAGTTCTAATCTCTCTAGATTCTCCGGCGACCCAAAGTCTGGTCACGACCATATGATTTGTGGTTAAAGTTCCTGTTTTATCTGTACAAATGCAGGTAGCTGAGCCCATCGTTTCACAAGCAGAAAGATGTCTCACGAGGGCCCTATCGTTCATTAGTTTCTTCATGGCAAAAGCCAAACTTAAGGTCACCGCCAATGGTAGCCCTTCTGGCACAGCAACCACCAATATAGTCACTGCTATAGCAAAATAGTTCAAAAGCTCCAAACCATCGCTCATATACCATTTACCCATCTCATTTCGAACAATTTTCATAATTATAAACCGTGCAGTCAGCACCAGAAACGTCAAAACCGCAAAAGCTAGACCAATTTTCCCAATAATGGTAGCCACCCCATTAAGCTTCACCTGTAATGGAGTCTCATCATCCCCACCTTCACTCAAAGTCACCATTAATCTTCCCCATTCTGTTTTCATTCCTACAGAAGTTACCAGCATTTTACCGGAACCATCTTGAACTTTAGTCCCTGATAAAAGAAAAGGTCGCTTTTTGTCTATATTCACCGGTTCACTTTCACCTGATAAACTTGATTCATCAATAGACAAACTATAACCATCGATAAAGATCCCGTCTGCAGGCACTTGATCTCCAATCGACAGGTGAACAATATCCCCTACCACCAAATCATAAATGGAAACCTTCTTTCTCGTCCCATCTCGTGTGACCTGAATGATGATGTTTTTCTTTTCTTTGTCCAAATCTTTGAATTGCAAAGACTGCTTATAATCACTAACTGCAGTAACCACCACCACCAAAAATATGCAGAGAATTATTCCCAGCCCATCATACATACCTTTCGGCCACCCTTCCGTGGCAATGCCAACGCCAACGGAGATCACAGCACAAACCATGAGAATGATTAGAGTCAAATCCTGCAACGCATCCCAAACAAACATCCAAACGGGCCTCGGAGGCTTTTCCACAAACCGATTACAGCCAAAGATTTGTTGTCTTTTTTCTATATCGCTTGAAATGACACCATCTCTCAATGAGACTTTGATTTTTCTTGAAAGTCCTTGGAGTCCTCCATGGAATTCGTAGGTCCGGTTATTATGGGAACGGACTATATACGCAAGATCTTCAGGTTCTATATCGTAGCCTGCTTGAACGACTTCTTCAGAGAGCTTACGCTCGGTTCGATTAGCAGCTGTACTAATCAAAGCACAAATTTGAGAAGGGAAACAACATTGGAATAAATATGGCATTTATAAGAACTTGAGAATTTTATTCATAATATTTTAGACTATACCATCAATGAACTGCAATGCTGCTTTTTGAACATATAAAGCTATCCGAATCTTCTCCTGATTTACAGAAAAAACAAACCCCATTAGAGTACAGAATCCAAGAACATATAAGAAAGATTCAATGAATTCCCATTTTGGAAAATAAAGGTTAGAAGCCTCCAAATGCATATATTTCAAACTGGTGGTTTGTTGAATGTTTTACTTCAGTCAAAAAGAATGGCTAGTGAGAAATGTTAGCACAGACTTTTCCTAATCTCTTCGTGACATTTTCACAAACACTTGGCATGCAGATCCTAATTCAAACATTTTCCCACCTTCAAAACCATGAAATCATCGCATACTGGGATATCCATGAAAATACGTCAACAGTTTCGTTACAAAAACCGAGACTTTACGATCATTCAAGCACAGAAATTCCCCCAAAACTAACTACAAACGAGATAGCCTTCTAATCCGGAAAAATGATTACGAGTATTGGTACTCTTCCGATCGAACCAAATTCATCAAAGGAAATAGAACACCGACGCGATTGACTCCGCTTAATAGTCAAATAATCAACAGTTTTCTTGATCATTATGGTTCTTTTCAGTTACAAAAAGGTGGTGGGTAAGTGAAATCCGTGAATAAATTTCTTGGGTTTCAAGAAACTCAAAGAGTGTTCTATTTTTTTATTAGAGTTTTACTGTTTCAACATGAACCAAAACAATCCACAACGTCTGAAACCTATGACAAAAACCCATGAAAAGTAAGCAAATGATCGGAATCAGTGTCAAAAAACGAAATTTCGAAGGAAATTGCTGGTAAAATAGGGAAGAATATGTGTTTGTTTTGTGGTTTATAGGAATAGGACCATGGAATAAGTCATGCACATAATATTCCCAAAGGATTGCAACGTTGGTGGTCATGGCACGTATGTCAAAGGTTATGGTATACAAAACGATGGATGCATTAAACTCCGAGGAAAACACGAATGTCGTTATAAAAACCGCCCCACTGAATGTCAAAGAATAAGAAAAATGATGAAGACTTTTAGACTCGAGATTTTTATGAGCTTCATTCAAAACACCCTCTTATGTATGTAACAAACAAAAGTTTTTTAAGGTATGAGATTTTAATTAAATCCATGATCTCCTGATTCATATTTATTAGAAGATCATAAATTTAATATAAATTTCATTTGAAGTTGTATACTGAAATACCTTATAAAAACACTGTTTTATGTCATAAGAAACGTTGTTTCTTATTTAAGAACGTATCCATAAAGTATGGGAGTTACGGATAAGAGTTAAATTTGAGATGTTTTTATTTTCCTATGGTTAAGAAAAGAATAGTAGTAGTGTAATTTCTTTGAAAAAATAATTTGAAATTTATGTTTCAATAAAATATAAATAATATTTATCTTTTGTATGGATATATATATATATATATATATATATACACGTGCGCGATTGAGGGGTGTTTAACAATACATAGGCATAATCATTTGATACTTGAGAACTTGTACATTATGTGTATTTCTTGTTTTACAAACATGCCAAAAAAGTTCATAGTGTAAAACAAACAAATTGTGAAACAAACATATGTTTATTAATATTCCAAATTTTAGTCTTAGATGAAAAAATATAATATGAAATAACCCATATGCACAAGTTCTCAAGTTTATCACAATTTCATGGATTCTCAAAAAAAGGCCCCCTAACTATATATATGTATGTATGTATGTATAATGAGAAGTAATAATGAGGGTGCACAGAGATGCACCAGATCGATTACGGTCAGAAGGTGTGCCAAGATGCACCAGATCAATATGTATTCATGGGTTTCGATGAGAAGAGAAGTTACGATGATAAGTGTAAGAAGAGAATTTTACCTTTAGATTAATCATAATTGAATGTCAACACTAATGAGGATGCATCAAGATGCACCAGATCAATTACCTTCTAAAACACAATTAATGGGTGAATATGAGATTAACAGTGATATATGGTCCAAATCTTTTCTTGCGCTTCTCACCATAACTTCCAACACACACACATACACACACACACACACACACACATATATATATATATATATGAGTTCCGGTGAAAATAAAAGTTATGATAAGAAGGGTAAGAAGAGATCATCACACTTAGATCAATCTTAATTGAAGATAATCACTAATAAGATGCACTAGATCAATTCACGTGATAAGTTCAATTCATGGGATGAGGGTGAGATTAAAAATGACCAAGAGTTCAGATCTCTTTTTACGCTTCTGACCTTAACTCTCATTCTCACATGATCTTTTGTACAAACCGTGCAAACCACCCTCATCCGTCGATTTCATTGTTTAATCTTATGAAATTGTTTCATATAATAATTTTTTTGATTAAGTTGTTTCATATATGGTTATGAAATTGTTTTATATAATACTTATGAAATTTTAATAAAACTGTTTCATGTATTTTTCTAAAATTAATATAATGAAAATGATAATATTCATGATTAAAATCATCCACAATAAAAATAATTATTCAACCTCTCATGATTACAAAAAAAGTGAACAAAATAAAAATTATGATTAGTTGAATAAGGTTTCTACGGTTGTACAAATTACATGGTTTACAAAGTAAACCTTCTCTCTCTCTCTCTCTCTCTCTCTCTCTCTATATATATATATATATATATATACACACTTCTCTCCCTCTCTATATATAACTTAAAGTTAAAATAAAATTAAAACAAAAGTCTTGATACCACGTCATGTCTTGTAGAACACATTGTTTCTAAATTAGAGGCTAAAAATGACCCAAATTTTCTTTCCATTATTAATTCTCATATTCATATATCGTATGATCAATTCATTAACGAGGTTTTGGGACCACAATATACACATTTATACATCGTTGACATATGTATATATAGACACACATCATACATACATACATACATGCACATGTGTTTTATCTTCATGTTTGCATAATGCATTCCTCCTAAGAATTCGTGTGAATAGAGATGGTAGAAAATTAATTTCTTCCGTTTTTAATAGAAAACTTTATATGTTACTCGTGATTTTAATAATTTCCAGCTCCAAAATTCAAGGAATTATTAATTTTTATATTGTAATCTTTAAAGAAACATCTATATATACATACACACAGAGGAAAATTTTCAATTGCAACCACAATTCCATCGCAATCATGGAACCACCGAGAGCATGTTATGTGTTCATATTTTACAACATTCATGATGAATATTCAGAATACGTAGCACGATGATTCCCTGGTTCACAAGAAAATCAGGTTCTCAACCGAACTTGATCCCAAACATATACATACATACACATATACACACACATATATATAGAGGGAGGAACACAAAAGATTGTTAACCATCTAAGAGACTTGTATATATAGATATGAAGAATGATCACATGATTTACAATATTTCACCCTAAAAGAATGTAGATATATATCACTATGATCATGGCTCATAAAATATATCCATCTCTTTTCAAAAGAAACAATTCATGTCTACGTATTCATGTGTTAATTTCAAAGAAAATTAATAAATGGCAAAAGAAAGATCGAACCTGGATCTTCCTTCGTTTCTTCTCGGCTGCTGCCCGTTTGGCAAGATCAGCCACCATACGAAACCTGCGACGAGGGTTCTTGACGAGCCACACGGCCGATCGCCATTTCTTGAGCGCTTCTTCAGTCGGGTTCTTGTGTTCGACCTCAAAGTTCTCCTTTAGATAACTCTCCATAGCTTTTCGTACCCAAACCAATCACATGTGAAATGGAATTACGTTTGTGAATTGATGTGAAGATTGGTACAATGATCGATGGATCAGAAATGTGTTTGTTTGTATGAGTTTAAAGTTGTAAGGACATGTTCAAACTCCGTAAAACTCGAAGTGGAAGCCTACTACTATGCTCCTACAATGGCTGACCCTTTCCTATTTATAAGTGCTTGCAAAAACATTTTATTTAATCTACCCCAAACTTTACTAATATTGCAATTTCTAACCCTCAACTAGCAACAAAAACTCGAACCTGTCGCTTGTATATATATATATATAGGGAAGGGTTCAAACGAGAACCTCTGTAATTTACGAGAATGCGAGAACAACCCAATAACCACATATTGTGATAAAAAATAAAATTAAAAGATTTTTAAAACTAAAATTGAAATTTAAAAAGATTCAGGAAATATTAAAATTAAAAGGGTAATAATGGAAATGATATCATAAAATCTTTTAATACGATTACACGATCATGATTATTATTATCTAATAAACGGTTAATTATGTGATATGGGTGTGATAATCATGTGATTATCACACAAT